GACCCTTGAGTCCACAGGCAGACGCTCTATCCACTGAGCCAAACTGGTTTCAGCTTTTTTAGGATTCTATGGCCAAGTAGCTCAGTTAGTTGGAACATTGTCCTGATATACCAAGGTTGCATGTCCGATCTCCAGTCAGGGGACACACAAGAATCAACAAGTAAAAGAGAAAAGAAGGAGGAAAAAAAAGAACCAGTGACTCCCACTCTCCCTCCCAGGAGCACACCCTCTGCCTCTCACCAGTCCACTCTCACCTGCTGCTGCCCCTTTCTGTTCCCGTTCCTTCCCCCGGAGTTATGCATCTTATAAACTCTAAGGGACTCCACAGGCTTGCAAACAGGGAACAATGGACAAGCAGCAGTTCCTCCCAGGCAAGCCTGACCCTGTCTCCAAGGCCCTCTTTTTAATATATTTTTATTGATTTCAGAGAGAAGGGAGAGGGAGAGAGACAGAGATACATCAATGATGAGAGAGAATCATGGATCGGCTGCCTCCTGCACACTCTCTACTGGGGATCTAGCCTGAAACGCCAGCATGTGCCCTTGGACCGGAATCAAACCTGGGACCCTTCAGTGCAAAGACCGACGCTCTATCCACTGAGCCAAACCAGCCAGGACCAACGCCCCCTTTTCTCTGATTGCTTAGTGAGCCAAAGCAGCCCAGCTTAGACTCATTTCCGCACTTAGTCTTCTGTTGCTTCTTCTATCCTAGGCCCTTCCTTGTTTCCCTGTCCCCAGCTTTAATAAATAACTTCTAAAAATCCTATATAATAAAAGGCTAATAAGCAAATAGATCAAACAGCAGAACAAACAGAACTGAACAACATTGCTATGACACGTGATGACCACCAGGGGGCGTGCACAGAACATGGTGGGCATTGGCCATGGAAGGATGGTGGAGCAGGTTGGGGCGGTGTGTGTGTGTGTGTGTGTGTGTGTGTGTGTGTGTGCGCGCACGTGCGTGCCAGACCAAGGTGGGGTGCCAGTTTCTGCCATTAGAGTGAGCCTCTGGTGGTTACTGAAAATTCTTTTCTCCCGTGTGCCGCGGTCCCACCCGGTGCTTGCACCTGCTGCCGGCACCGGCCCTACTCACACCCACACCCAGTGCTGGAGTCGCCACTCGCACCCACTGCCACTGCCAGTGCCCAGTGTCGGTCCCGATCCTCAGCACCATCAGCGGGTGTGAGCAGCAGCTGCTGGCCAACCCTATGGCCCCTGAGGGCTTCTCTACCTCCCCCTGCTCCTGAGGGGTATTGGGGTAACAGCTGCTGCTCGCACCCACTGCTGGCACCAGCCCCACTCTCACCTGCTGCTGGCACAGGCCCCCATCGCTCAGCACCTTCAGCGGGTGCGCGCAGGGTTGGAACATGGGAGTGGCCGGCAGGAGCAGGGCTGCTGGCAGACAAGGGTCTGGGGGTCATGTGGCCGGGGGGTGGGGATGGGGGGTGGGGGAAGGTGGGGCACGGAGGATGGACCAAAACCCGACCCTGTGCCCACCACAACCTCACGGCCCTCAGTTCCTTTCAAGGTGCACAAATTTGTGCACTGGGCCCCTAGTAAAAATATAGAAAGGATCAACCAGTGAGTGCATGGGTGCCTGGAGCAAACCCATGTTTCTTTTTTCCTCTGTTTAAAATCAGTAAATAAACATTGTATATAAAAGCTTCTATATATAAATGAGATCATAAGCTATTTTTTTCCTCTGCCTGCCTATATTTTACTTAATATAATGCACTCAAGGTGAAACCATGTTGTCTCAAATAACAAGATTTCCTTTATTTTTTAATGTCTGAATAATATTGCAGTTTGTGTGTATGTGTGTGTGTATTCACATCTTTATCCATTTATTCATTGATGAACACTTAGGTTGCTTCTGTCTTGGCGATTGTAAATAATGCTGCAGTAAACATGGGAGTACAGATGTCTTTTTTAAAAAAATATATTTTTATTGATTTTTTACAGAGAGGAAAAGAGAGGATAGAGAGTTAGAAACATCGACGAGAGAGTGTCATCGATCAGCTGCCTCTTGCACACCCCCTACTGGAGATGTGCCCGCAACCAAGGTACATGCCCTTGACTGGAATCGAACCTGGGACCTTTCAGTCCCCAGGCCGATGCTCTATCCACTGAGCCAAACAACGGTTTCGGCAAGATTCTTTTCAAATTAGTTTTTCATTTTCTTTGGGTAAATACCCAGAAGTTGGATCATATGGTAGTTCTATTTTTAATATATTTTTAAAATATAAATTATTTTTTTTAATTTTAAAATTTCTTTATTAAGGTATCACATATTTGTCCTCAATCCCCCATTCCAATACCTCCCCTCCCCACTCATGCCCTCACTCTCCTATTGTCCTTGACACTGGTTAGGCTCATGTGTATGCACACAAGTCCTTTGGTTGATCTCTCCCTTTTATCCCCACCCTCCCTTTGAGGTCCAACAGTCTGACCCCCGGCTCCTTATCTCTGGGTCTGTTCTTGTTCATCAGTCTATGTCGTTCACCATTTTCCCTAGATGAGTGAGATCATGTCCTCGTGGAAATACACTTATAAGAACCGAAAATGAGACAAGCAATAATGGTTATGCTGAAAGGCATATGAATCAGTCTGTAGTGAGTTTCTTTCTGGGCCAATTTCAATGTCAAACAGTTCCTTATGTGTATATGTCAGCAATGATATTTCAGTTCTGGATGGTGGACAAATGGTGGTGATGCATGTCTGACCTTCTCTGGTTTGGTCCTGGGCAACCTGCAGTGATACACAGCTGCTGACTGCTATTATATTTTTAATATCTTGAGGAAACTCCATGCTGTTTTCCATAGTTGCTGTACCAGTTTGCTTTCTCATCAATAATAAACAAAGGTTCCCTTTTCTCCACATCCTCACCAACACTTCTTGACTTTTCCCTCCTATTTTTAATTTATTGATCTTAGAGATAGAGAGGAAGGGAGAGAGAGAGAGAAAAAAAAGAAAAACATCTACTTATAGTTCCATCTATTTATGCATTCATTGATTGGTTCTTATATGTGCCCTGACTGGGGATTGAACCCACAACCTTGGTGTATTGGGACAATGCTCTAACCAACTGAGCTACTTGGCCAGGGCCCTTCTTGACTTTTTGATAGTAGTCATTCTAACAGGTTTGAGGTGATATTGTGGTTTTTATTTGTATGATTAGTGATGTTGAGCACCTTTTCATATACCTATTGGTCATTTATATGTCTTCTTTGGAAAAATGTCTATTTAGATCTTCTGCCCATTTTTTCCCCGGATTGTTTGTTTTTGCTGTTGAGTTGTATGCATTCTTTATACATTTTGAATATTAACCCCTTATCAGACATGTAATTTTCCCATCAGTAGTTGCCTTTTCATTTTGTTGTTTATTTTGCTGTGCAGAAGCCTTTTGGTGTGATATAGCCCCCCTTCCTTATTTTTGCTTTTGTGGCCTTTGCTTTTGGTGTCAGATTCACTTGTAGTTCTTTAGGGCAGTTTTATATTTCAGTAGTATCTACTTAGTACGATGCTCCACATTTTTATTTGGTTTCCAGCCCAAGATCAGGAAAGGAAATTGACAGGTGGGTGGAGGGCAATTGCTGCTGGGGAGAGGGCTTCCTGGACCAGGAAATGACTCATGGTTATCTCTCAGTTGGCAAGAATTTTAACTACACCAGTTAGGGCCAATAAAGCCACATTCTAAGAGGCTAGTATTTATATAGTGTGTCCATATGCACCTGTATTTGCCTTTCTCTGGAAGAGGTAGGCATCATGTATGCGTCAATGTGGAATTCCAGCTATTTGAGAAATAACAGTACAGTTGTCAAATTCCTGTGATTGACCCTTAATTTGTTTAATCTTTGTATATATAGGTGCAACAATGTATTGAATATTGATTCTAATATGTAGATCACTACTTCCTCCCTTATGTATCCGAACTTGAGAAAGCTGGGAGTGGGGACCTGCTGGAGTGGAAGCATTTGTGCCACGCCCCCTAGTTTTCTGGAAACGTTTATCACTTGAAGCGGTGAACTAGGCCAAAAGTGCCTCTTAAAGCACACACTGCAAGATCATGGGCTGAGCGAGCGGAAGCCAGCTAGAACAGGAGGCCTTGGGCCACACGCCCAGGACGGAGTATAAGACAGTCCTTAGGATAGAAGCTCAGCTGTCCTGCTTTGGGGGTTCCCCGTTTGAGACATCTTGCACAAGGCCAGTATTGGGATTCTCTTACATGGATGAGGAGGGAGCAGGCGGCCAGGACCCATCATGACTACAAAGGAGATAGAGAAAGAAAACACAGGCTGAGCTGGTAGGTGGCATGGAGGCCACGTTCAGCTTTTGCTCGTCAGGAGCAACCGGACAGCTTGTGGGAGTGAGCTTAGTTCTCCGCGCACTCCCGCCCCCTCCGAGCCTCCTCCTCCCCCCAGCGGACAGCATCCTTCCCGAGGTGAACTCTCCCAGGTCCTGTTCCATAGGCGACGCTTCCTCATCTCCTGCTCCTTCCACGTGGCTGGCAGGACAGACGGAGCACAGCCACGAGGCTTGCATCCCAGGAAGGATCCCGAAGGAGCCGAGTCCGAGGTGAGCAGATCTGAGTGGGTCTAAATGACTCCCATCTCGCTGCCGTCGGCCGGGCCTGGTCTTTTGGTTCCAGGTAAACGTACCTCTGAGACACGGGGCGGGTGCTGAGGGAGAGCCAGGTGCCAGGGTGTGGGAATGAAAGGGTTCCTGGAGAGCCCGTGAGAGGATGGTCAGCGACAAGCTGGGTGGCAGCACACGCCATCACAGTGACAGGGAGTGAATCTCCCCAGAAGCTCAGAGCAGCTGCTCCTACAGGTCCCTGACCTTCTCAGCGGAAACATTCTCGGCGGCTGCAACCACAATAGGTTCTGACCATTACGTGAACGGACGTGATTTGTAGACTCGAATACGGGCTTTTGACACTTGGAATAAGCATCTAACAGGCAGGCTGGGCCCCTGTCCTTAAGGAAAAGAGCCACGCTGGACTGAATACAACGTTTAATGTAAGATACAGTGAATGGTGGAGCTGGTACAAAATGACGAGATTCAGTTCTAGTCAGTGAGCCAACAGCCTAGGCATCCAGAAAAAACTGGCCCTGCTGTTCGTCCTCGAGGCCCTCTGCTCGAGGCTCGCAGAGGGCTAGCTGCTCCCTGAAGGCGTGGGCTGGAGCCGTGTTCCCAGCTCCCGAGGGGGATCGGGGGGATCGGGAGGCTGCTGGCCCGGCCCCGCAGCAGGTGACGCTGGGGACAGGCTGGAGGGACGCGGGGTCAGAATGCACATGGGACAGGGTGCTCTTCACTCGCTACATGCAGGGGTCCGAGAGGCTCGGAGCTCCAGGGGTCAGCCTGCCCACTTCCTACCCCTGTGCTTCGCCTCTCGTTTACAACGGGAAGAAGACGGTTCCATGAAAGACAAAAGGTCTTTCTAGAAATGTGTTTGGCATAAGCTGGTGCCACTGCAAGTGCTGCCAGCGGCCAGGCACAGGTTCAGAGCCCTGAGGAGGGGGCGGGGCGGGGGCTTTGCGGCAGAGCAGGGCGCTGCCTCGGAGCCCCGAAGGTGAAGGCCGTGCAGTGAAGAAGGTTCCCCTCTTTGGTCAGGCAAAGGCCCTGGCGGGCCGGGGGCACAGGCTCTGCCTCAGGCCCTCGCGTTTGGCTCATCGCATTGAGGCGGCGATGCGGCAGGAGGCGAGGCGGAGTGACAGCAGTGAGGCCGGTCACCCCTGCTCCTAGGAGCTGCCTTTGTCCTTGTCATCCGTCAGGTCGTACCTGTGGGAGCGAGCAGAGAACAGTCAGGCGTAACGTCGACTCTTGTGTCTTCTTAGAAATGAGACATGAGCCGAAACCGGTTTGGCTCAGTGGATGGAGCGTCGGCCTGCGGACTGAAAGGTCCCAGGTTCGATTCTGGTCAAGGGCATGTACCTTGGTTGCGGGCACATCCCCAGTAGGGGGTGTGCAGGAGGCAGCTGGTCGATGATTCTCTCTCATCAATGTTTCTAACTATCCCTCTCCCTTCTTCTCTGTAAAAATTCAATAAAATATATTTTTTTAAAAATGAGACATGATCTAAGAGCTTTTTGGTTCTCGGCTCAGTCTGCATCTTTTTTTCCCTTCCTGTTTGGGATTTCTCCTACTTACTCTCCAGGCCCATCCCCCAACCGCCAGGCACTCACCACTGGGCCGCGCCCTGGGACAGGTCTGTCTCCGCGAGGTCCAGCTGCACCTGTGTGGGAGGAGGGTAAAGGCAGGATGTGACTTCCATAGCTCCAAAGGCCACGTCCCATCACCTCACTTCCTGCCCCACCAAAAGCGGGACGATCTGGCCACCTTCCCCTAGCAGGACTGCAGCCTGGATGCCTGCGGCCTCGCGCGCTCACCGCGGCCCGGCCCGGCCCTCACCTTTCCCAGCAGCTCCCGCTCCCTGGACATGAAGGACGGGCCGGACTTCACGGAGACCTCCAGCTTCCGCCGCAGGGCCTCCTCCAGCGGCAGCTCCCACTCGAACCTGGGGGAGGGGCGTCAGGCGCGTCCTCCGCCCGCCCGCCCGCCCGCCCGCCCGCCCGCCGTCCCCCCGCCCGCCCCGCACTGACCGCTCGTTGAACTCGGGATTGAGGGTCCTCTTCTTCTGCGAGGTCTTCCTCTTGGAGCCCCGGCTCCTGTCCGGGTGCAGCAGCAGCGACACGTAGGGGTCGGGGGGGTCCCGTCCGTTCTGCCGAAGGGACCTGCAGCGGAGGACGAAGGTGCTAAGGCCGCACGCGGGGAGGGACGGAGGGGACCCGGGGCCGGGGCCGGGGGCTCACCGGCAGCTGTGCACGATGCCGATCAGCTTCCGGTCTTCGCTGTAGTACCACACGGTGAGCTTCACCTGGCCCAGCGGCCCGGCCGGCGCCTCCGGGGGGCTGTGGGGGGCGGAGGCAGGTTGGGAGGAGGCAGTGCCTAGGGAACCTGCAGCTCATCCTTTCTATTCCCGATGCACCCCATTCCACACACACACACACACACACACACACCCCGGGCTTCACCTGTCCCCGTGGGTGAGGCGCTGCCGGAGCTCCGGGGCCGAGGAGGTGGCGTGAGGCAGGCCCCCCCAGGACTCCAGCTCCTCGCTCACAGAAGAGGAGCTGTGGCTGTGGCTGTGGGCTTCCACTCCCGAGTGCTGGGACACCAGGATCTAGGGGCGCAGAGAGCTCCGCTAACGTGCTGTTCGGTGCAGCCTCCGTCCGGCCCCCTTCCTGCCCCCGGCGGCACTCACCCCCAGCTGTGCTCTCAGCAGCACCTGCCCTTGACCGTTGTTGAGTGCAAACCAGCGGTCCACGCAGAGCTGCTCGGCCCCAAGGAGCTCCGAGAGGGGCAGCGACAAGGAGCCCAGCGCGCCGGCGCCCTCACCCCGAACCTGTGACCAACAGATGGAGGTCAAACCCCAGGGCCCGGCCGGTTTTGGTGAGAGACTCCCTTTTGTGAAGGACAAGGAAGCCCTGGTGACAGCGGTGGGGCCCACGACCTCCCTTCCTTTCTTAACCGGAGCAGGCCATCCCATCTTTACTTCCCACGCTTTTACAAATTATACCAGTAATCCCTGCACAGGGAGGAGGAAGGAACAGTAAAAATGGAATTACACTGAAAGGAAACGTCTTCTGCCCATCCTATCCCTATCTTCATACTCAAATATCAACATTCAAAACCTCTGTTCGAACATAATTCTAATTAATTCTAATTAACAGCCTGTATCTCTACTTCGTGATTTGCCAACTTTGGTACCCACTGATTCCCTGTAAGATGAGGAACTGAGCTCATTTAAATCCCTACCTCTGCTTGAGTTGTTATAGTCACATTATTTTTCTTTTTAAAATAATATATTTTAGCCGAAACGGGTTTGGCTCAGTGGATAGAGCGTCAGCCTTCGGACTGAGATTCCAGTCAAGGGCATGCACATTGGTTGCGGGCACATCCCCGGTAGGGGGTGTGCAGGAAGCAGCTGGTCAATGTTCCTCTCTCATCGATGTTTCTAGCTTTCTATCCCTCTCCCTTCCTCTCTGTAAAAAATCAATAAAATATATTTTTAAAAAATTAAATAAAATATTTTATTGATTTATTTTACAAAGAGGAAGGGAGAGGGATAGAATTAGAAACATCAATGAGAGAGACACATCGACCGAACAGTGCAACTGATCGATGTGTCTCTCTCATTGATGTTTCTAACTCTATTCAGGCCCTTATCTACCAGGGCCTCTTGCACGCCCCCTACTGGGGATGTGCCCACAACCAAGGCACTACGTGCTCTTGACCTAAATGGAACCTGGGACCCTTGAGTCCACAGGCCGAGGCTCTATCCACTGAGCCAAACCGGTTAGGTCACATTATTTTTCTATCAACTTTCGAAGGTATCAGATTACTCCATCAGAGGAGGAAGTCAGCTCTCCTATGTGACCTTTCGCCTTCCCGGTCCCTCCCTCCCATACCGCTTCACATTTTGTTCACCCTTCACCCCACTCATACCTAGTTTCCACTCCATTTATCCCACCGACGTTGCTGCAATAATCAGTGACAACCTAGTTTTCAGAGCCAATGACTAATTCTCTGTGATCTAATTTTACCTCGCAGCAACGTCTGGCCACTTCCTGTCGTCGTTCGAAACTCTCTCCTTTCGGTCCCTCTCACCCACTCTCTCCTGGCGCGTGTCCCACTGCCCTGGCCACACCTCAGGCCTGCGGGGACCTCTGACTCCCCGTCTGCTCTCTCACTGTCACAGCGCCTGGCATGGCCATCCTTCGTCCTTTCACAGACGCCTTAAGATGTCCTACGCTCAGGCTGGCAACTGCCACCTGCTGCCTGCTCATGATGCTCCAAGAACATCAGAACAGGCCATAGATCTACCTCCTGGATGGCTCTGATCTCAAATTTAAAAAGCTCCTCCCTTGTGCATTCCCAGTGTTGTCAACGGCACCTTCATCTGTCCAGCCACCCATGTAGGAACCAGGAGTAAGCATGGAGGCTGTTCCTGGTTCCTCCTTCCCCTCCGTGCCAACTGCCCCCCCCCCCCCATCGGCCTGTCATTTCCTGCTTCAGTTACTCTAGCTTCTTAACTGGGCTACCTGCTCCAGCGTTGTCCATTCTCTGTCCTGCTCCTCAAGTACAAATCTGGATGTGTCACCTCTCATTCCTTCACGTTTCCCTATGCTTTTTAAAAAATATATTTTATTGATTTTTTTAGAGAGGAAGGTAGAGAGATAGAGAGCTAGAAACATCGATGAGAGAGAACCATCGACCAGCTGCCTCCTGCACCCCCCCCACTGGGGATGCACCCACAACCAATGCACACGTCCTTGACCGGAATCGAACCCGGGACCCCTCAGTCCTCAGGCCGACGCTCTATCCACTGAGCCAAACCGGTTTTGGCGTTTCCCTATACTTTTAAGATAAAATCCAAATTCTTAGCATACTATTCAACAGCCCTCATGACGGAATAGTATGCTCCCTGCCTGCCTCCCTAGTCTATAATTTGCCTTCTTTCTCCTCCAGTCTTTTCTCAGACAGAAGAGTTTTCCTGGCCAGAGCCCGTTTATCCATCAGCTCAGGGGCCATCTAAGGATGCCTTTCTTACTGCCGCCCTTTTCCCCTGGACGGAGCTGGCACCAATCCCCCCCACCCGCCCCTTAGTGCCTTTTAGCTCAGCAGTTACCGGTCTGGAAGTATTCTCTGGTTATTTTTCTTCCAAAAGAGTGTGAGCTCCATAAAGATGAGACTGGACCTTTTGCCTCTGAAAGCCCTGCGCCCCAGGCTCCGTTCCTCAGGGTGAGGACACTGGTCTCGGAACGCCCTGTGGCTGTGCCTGGGTCACGCGGACCGGCACACTTCTGTAGGAAGGACTCCGGTACCTGCACCTCCAGGCTCTCCGTGTTCGGTTTCCTGATGAGGAAGGAGGCACACTCGTCCCAGATGGGGGCTGCCGTCTGGGGAACAGTCTGGCGGAGATGAGGGGAAGAGCAGTGGTGGGTGGTCTCTCCAGGACTCCTCTTACCGCCCCCCCCTCCCTGCAGCACTTCTGATACCTTAGTTTTATGAGAGGCTTCTCCCACGGTGATAGTAGCATAAGGGCTGGGAGGCTTGGTACCTTTTCGGAGCTAGAAAGAGAACATTGTGTTAAGTACTAAATATTTAGTATTTAATATTTTTAAAAATATATATTTTATTGATTTTTTGTGGAGAGGAAGAGAGAGGATAGAGAGTTAGAAACATCAATGAGAGAGAATCATCGATCAGCTGCCTCATGCACACCCCGCACTGGGGATGTGCCCACAACCAAGGCACATGCCCTTGACTGGACTCAAACCTGGGACCTTTCAGTTCACAGGCCGATGCTCTACCCACTGAGCCAAACCGGTTTCGGCTAAATATTAAATATTTAGTATTTAATATTAATGTTAAAAATTGTCTTAAATTGGGAGCAAGTTGGGCAGACTCCCCCCTCCTCTCACAAGGTCTATCCATCGCCAGCATCATGTCCCTATTATCACTAACAGCCACGGCCCTCCTTGGACAGACAATTCTTCCTATCCCAGCGCCTCCCTGGGAAGGAGAGGAACTCAGAATTTACTGTTATTTCAAACACACAGGAGCATCCAAACCCGAGGGAGGTGGGAGGTGGGAGGAGGGAGGAGGGAGGTGGGAGGAGGGAGGTGGGAGGAGGGAGGTGGGAGGAGGGAGGAGGGAGGTGGGAGGAGGGAGGAGGGAGGAGGGAGGTGGGAGGAGGGAGGAGGGAGGAGGGAGGTGGGAGGAGGGAGGAGGGCGGGAGGAGGGAAGGGAGGGAGGAGGGAGGTGGGACGGTGGGAAGGAGGAGGAGGATGGCGGGAGGCGTTGGAGGAGGGAGGAGGGGAGGAGGGAGGTGGGAGGTGGAGGTGGGACGGAGGGAGGGTGAGAGGGAGGTGGGAGGGAGGAGGAGGGAGGTGGGGGATGGATGGTGGGAGGGATGGAGGAGGGAAGGCGGAGGGATGGGGGAGGAGGGAGGTGGGGAGAGGGTAGGTGGGAGGAGGGAGGAGGGAGGTGGGGGAGGGAGGTGGAGGGGGAAGGTGGGAGGAGGCGGTGGGCAGGTGGGCCTGGGAGGTGGGAGGAGGGATAGGAGAGGGGAGAGGGGGTGGGAGGAGGGAGCGGAGGAGGGAGGCGGAGGTGGAGGAGGAGGAGGAGGAGGGAGGAGGGCCAGGGAGCTACGGGGCGGGGTGGGGGGAGGCCTCACCGGAAGGTCCTCCGCCCGCTCCAGGTAGACGGACAGCAGGGCCGCAGCCAGCTCTCCGCTCTTCTGCGTCTGGATCAGACTGTTCACCTGCAGCACCTGGGGGTCGGGGACCGGTGATAAGCCCTGGGCCGGCGCTTTCCTTAAATCAGAGGGAATGTTCGTCTGGACCCTCCGGGGCCCTGCCTCCCTCCCGCTGCCCTCCTCACCTCCTCTAGCTCAGCAGCAACGGGGCGGGGGGTCAGACGCTCCAGACGCAGGTGCAGGCGGCCAGACGGGACGTCCTCCAGGGTCAGCCACTGCGGGAGCGGCAGGGTTCAAGTTCGCGGTGCGGGGCCGAGGGGCCGTGAGGATGGGACTATGTGGGTGGGGATCGGGAGGGACTGTGATTCTAAGCCCAGGCTCACCTCGTCAAGGAAGCCGCTGTTGAGGACGGCGGTGAGGCTCACTTTACACCTGTCCGAACAGGTAAGCCCAGAGGTCAGCGCCAAGCCCGCCCCCGGAGGCGGCCTCGGGGGCCTGCAGAGGCCCCGCCTCCTCCCCGCGCTCCTCTCTCACCTGCCCAGGAAGTCGTCCTTGTCCAGGTCCTTGTCAAAAACCTCCACCCCGAGCTCCTGGCCTGGGATCGACGTGACAATCACCTGGGGGAGGAGACAGTGGGGACAAAGGGGATTCTCCTCCGGATGACGGAACCTCTCCACCGGCCCGGGACCCAGCTCTGCGGCCGCTCGCTCTGACCTCAAACACCTCGTTCCAGCGCGGGTTGAGGTCCTCCCGCACCACGCGGCTCCGGAGGCTCCGTCCCGCCAGCTTCAGTTTGACGTAGGGGTCGGACTTGCCCTTCACCAGCCCGCCCAGGAAACGGTCTTTGGCGATCAGGTCCTGGGCCTCCAACACGTGGATCCGGAGAACGTTCTGCGAAAAGGGCGGAGGCGCCCGATGGGGCGGGTGTGCCGGCCGGAGCTCCCGGCAGGGCACGGACCCTCTCCCCTCCCCCCTCCCTCCGGGGGCCGCACCTCGGTCCCGAAGTGGCTGTCCGGAGTGGTGTGCCGGGGCCGCGGGGGCGCGTCCACGCTGCTGCCCGGCTGGGGGCTCTCGCGGTCCAGGTCGGAGGCACCGGTGGCCGCGGGGAAGCGCACTTCTGACGAGTCCAAGTACAAGATCTAGGAGGGAGGGCCATTGTCCAATCAGAGCAGGGCAGCCGGCCCCCAGCAGGCCGGTCTGGGGGGGCCGGGGGGGCAGAGCAGGGGCCATAACGGGAAAACCAGGTCCCATCTCTCCGGGCTCCTCTCTATGGGGTTCCCTCCACCCCTGTCCTCTTCGGACGCCATGGCCTCCAGCGGTCAGATTGACATTCTTCGTGCGCCTGCCAGGCGGGTCCACATGCACCAGCTCATTTATCCTGGAGGTCAGCGCCTCCCCCCCTTACTCTTAGCACCAAGGAACCCACAAGAGCCTCCCACAGCCTCTGCCTCCCCGCCTCCTACCCTCATGACCACTTTCATGTAGAGCCTGGAGCCTGGGCCCGAGCCGCTGAGCTGGAACCACTGGTCCAGGGTGAGCTCGGAGGCCGTCAGCAGGCGGGCCAGGGGCAGGGTCAGCGCCCCCAGCGTCACCGCCCTGGAGTCGTCCTTCACCTGCAGGCGCGGAGGAGAGCAGTGAGGAGACACGGGGGGGGGCGGGAGGCCCCCAGGGAATTACATGGCAGCACCTTCCTTCTCTCCGAGCCAATCACAGGCCTTCTGCTCTGCTCTGGGCCAGCTTTCCACAGTCCTCTGCCCACTCCATGCCCCTTCTGCCTGTGCTCATCCTGTTCCCATTACCTGGAACGTCCTCATCCTCCTCTCTGCCTATTTAAATCCTACTCATCCTTCAAGGCCCGCATAAAATCCTCCTTCCCTGACAGAATCTTCGGTTACTCCGGCCTCTGCCCCATTCTCTGGCCATTCTTAGCCCTCTACGATGGGTATTTTACTCCCGCTGTTCAATATCTAATCCTCCTGGGGACTTGACCTGTGTATGTCTTGTCTATGAAACCAGCTAGTAGGCTTCACGAAGACAGGCACTCTTTCATGCTTTTCCTACGATCTTTCAAACACTAGGCACCCAGCCCGGCTGAGTGACCCGGGTGACTCGAGCATCATCCTGATCCGCCAAGGTTGTGGGTCAATCCCCAGTAAAAAAAATTTTTTTTTTAAATATATTTTTTTATTGATTTCAGAGAGGAAGGGAGAAGGAGATAGAGATATCAATGATGAGAAAGAACCACAGATCAGCTGCCTTCTGCACACTCCCCTGCCCCCCTGGGGATCAAGCCCACAACCCAAGCATGTGCCCCTGACTGGAACCCTCCAGGCCCACAAGCCAACGCCTTATCCACTGAGCCAAACCACCTAGGGCATTTTTTTTTTAAGTGCCCTGGCTGGTGTGGCTCAGTTGGTTGAGCATCGTTCCATACACTAAAAGGTCACCAGTTCAATTCCTGGTCAGGGAACAAGCCCAGGTTGCAGGTTTGTGAAGCAACCAGTCAATATGTCTCTCTCACATTAATGCTTCGCCCTGCCCCATCTCTCCTCCTCCCTCCCTCTGCCCCATCTCTCCTCCCTCCGTCCCTCCCATCCACTCTATCTAAAAGCCAATGGAAAAAATATCCTCAGGTGAAGATTAACAACAAACAATAATAATACTAGGTACCTTATAGATAATGTTCTTTGTTTTTAATTCGAGCACAATTTACAAATTTATATACCATAAACATCACTCTTTTTAGGTGTACAATTCTCAGTTATAAAAAACTAGAGGCCCAGTGCATGAAAATTCATGCACTGGAGGGGGGGGTGTCCCTCAGCCCAGTCCACCCCCTCAGGGGCAGGAGGTGACCTGGTGATCAGGGGAAGGCAACACCCCCATCACACCTCAGCTGCTGCCACTGCCGGCAGCACAAGCCTCAGCCAGCCCTGGTTACCTGGGCCTCAGGCAGCCCTGGGTGGCTGGGGAGGCAGGCGAGCAGAACAGCCGGACCGGAACAGCCGGACCGCCTGGGGAGGGCCTGGCCATGCCGCGCTGCTGCCCTGGCGGGGCAGAGGGGACTAGGCGCTGCCATCTGGTGGCTCTGGGCACCGCCATTTTTGAGGGCATGACAGTCAATTAGCATACTCCCTCCTTACTGGCTGTGGGTGCCACCATATTTGTGAGGGTGTGAGTCAATTACCATATCCCCTCATTATTAGGAAGATTCTAATATAATGGGGAACAGTAGAGAGTAGAGGAGACAGAGTCTAGATAGATGGATTAAAAATAGACATGAGCCAAGATTGGTTTGGCTCAGTGGATAGAGCGTCGGCTTGGGGACTGAAAGGTCCCGGGTTCGATTCCAGGCAAGGGCATGTACCTTAGATGCGGGCACATCCCCAGTAGGGGGTGTACAAGAGGCAGCTGATCGATGACTCTCATCGATGTTTCTAACTATCTCTCTCCCTTCCTCTCTGTACAAAATCAATAAAATATAAATAAAAAAAATAAAAAATAAAAAATAGAGATGAACGGAGGACATGGAGAAGAAACGGTACAGATATGAGAAGGCAGGACAGACGACTGACTCACCTGCACATCGAGCTCCTGGCGCTGAGGGTCCTGCAGGAAGAAGCGGAAGGCCTCCTCCCACACGGGGCTGTTGGTGTTGTAGACAGCCTGCAGACGACAGGACTGAGGGTGCCGTCCACGTAACAAACCACCCCAACACATTTTTTAAAAGGTTACGTCATAGTGCCATTCCTGTTTCTCAGAAAGCCCTTACCATGATCAGCTTCCCAAAGGGAAACGTCATCCCAGAACAGGCCTCCCCCAGCCTCACACACAAACGCCACTTCCCACAATGCTCCCTGGCCTCACCTTGCTCTCCCGGGTCACGTCCTGAACGGACAGTTGTACCATGGGGTTGGGCTCCTTGTTCCCCTTCTTCAGCTGTGGGAGGTGAATTCAGAGTCACTATCACCGTGTTTCTGTTTCAGGGACGGAAGGGGGTGCTCCTCTCTGAGAGGCTCTGACCCCCGGGACCCTGTGCTACAGGACGCTGCTTCCGGAGCCGCAGGCAGCGGAAAAGAGGGGTGTGAACGCTGCATGCCAGGCCCCCGTCCACCTGCTCTCAGGAGCCACACTCACAGGGAGATCCTGGGCCCGATCCAGATAGACAACCAAGATGGCAGCTGACGGGGGCTCCGGCCGGGAGGAGACGCCTCGGTTCCACTGCAGGACCTGCAGGGGTGGGGCAGTCCGACCTCAGGCCCGCAGTCCCCCGCAGAGACTCAGTCCCCACAGAGACCTCAGGCCTGCAGTCCCCCGCAGAGACTCAGTCCCCCGCAGAGACTCCTCAGTCCCCCGCAGAGACTCCTCAGTCCCCCGCAGAGACTCAGTCCCCCACAGAGACTCAGTCCCCGCAGAGACTCAGGCCCCACAGAGACCTCAGGCCCCGCAGAGACTCAGTCCCCACAGAGACCTCAGGCCTGCAGTCCCCCGCAGAGACTCCTCAGTCCCCCGCAGAGACTCCTCAGTCCCCCGCAGAGACTCAGTCCCCGCAGAGACTCAGTCCCCGCAGAGACTCAGGCCCCGCAGTCCCCTGCACTGCCCGATGACCACTGCTCCCCCGCCCTCGTCCTGCTCCCTGTGGTGGTTACCTGCTCCAGTTTGTCTGCATCTGGCAACAGTGACAGCCATTCCAGCTTCAAGTGGACTTGGCCTTGCCCGCCTTGCAGAGGGAACCACTGGGGAAGTGGAAGAAAGTGAGGTACCGTTGAGATCAGATAGCCGCCCGGCCTCGTCCCCACCAATGTAGCAACTTCTGTCTGCCGTGTGGGCGAGCCCACCCCACCTTCCTCTTTTCTTAACTGACCTCATCCAGGACTCCAGCCTGTAGCACCTTCCCCACATCCAGCTTCATCCTGGGAGGGGCAGTGGGAGGGAGGGGAGGGCCGTGATGAGTAGCGTGTCACTGGCCCTCCACTCACTGACCTAGAAATAACTGGCGGATCGGACTCCCTTCTCCTCATCCTCGGGAGAGGATTGTGTGTGTGCACACGCACACCCACACGTGCATGTGCCTGTGTGTGGGTGGGGGTAAGGAATGGGAGGTTGGGAAGGAAAACAATACACAATTTCCAGGCCTGGGAAAGGATTATAATTACTAGCCCTGGATGGTTTGGCTCAGTGGATAGAGCGTTGGCCTGTGGACTGAAGGGTCCTGGGTTCAATTCCAGTCGACGGCAAATGCCCAGGTTTCGGGCTCAATGCCCATTGGGGGTTTGGAGGGGACGTGTGCGGAAGGCAGCCAATTAATAATTCTCATCATTGATGTTTGTCTCTCCCTCTCCTTTCCTATCTGATATCAATAAAAATATTTTTAAAAAATTTTTTAAAGAAAAGGACTGCCCTAACGGGTTTGGCTCAGTGGACAGAGCGTCGGCCTGGGGACTGAAGGGTCTCAGGTTCGATTCCGGTCAAGGGCATGTACCTTAGTTTCGGGCACATCCCCAGTGGGGGGTGTGCAGGAGGCAGCTGCTTGATGTTTCTCTCTCATTGATGTTTCTGACTATCCTTCTCCCTTCCTCTCTGTAAAAAATCAATAAAATATGTATTTTTTTTTTTTTTTTTTAAAGAAAAGGGCCAGGACCGGTTTGGCTCAATGGATAGAGCGTCGGCTTGGGGACTGAAGGGTCCTGGTTCGATTCTGGTCAAGGGCATGTACCTCTGTTGCGAGCACATCCCCAGTAGGGGGTGTGCAAGAGGCAGCTGATCGATGACTCTCTCTCATCGATGTTTCTAACTCTCTCTCTCTCCCTTCCTCTCTGTACAAAATCAATAAAAATAAATAAAAATTAAAATTAAAAAAAAGCCACTGGGATGCATAATTTAAAAAAGAAAAACTTAAAAAAGAAAAGGACTATAATTACCTTTGAGACCCTGCTAGCACCGGGGCTTTAGAATCCTAACATCGGCAATCTCACCTGCCCAGAAAGTCATCTTTGTCGGGGTCCTTGTCAAACACCTCCACCTCCACCTCCTGGCCCGGGACCTCGTGCACAATCACCTGGAGAGCGGAGGGGCGGGCTCGTGGGCTGCAGCCGTGAGGACCGCCTGTCACATCGCCCTCAGCCGTCCGAGCCGCCCGTTTCACTCAGCCCCATTCTCCAGCTCTCCCACCTCGTAGGTCTCTCCCCACTGCGGGTTGAGTTCCTCGTCGATGACACGACTACAGAAGGTCTGGGTGCCCACTCGCACAATGGCATAGGGGTCTGACTTGCCCTCAATCAGGCCCTTCACATATTTGTCCTTGGAGCTTAAGCCTCGAGCAGCCAGCAGGTGAATCCTGATAATGCCCTGAGGGTAGGACCCAGAGAGTGAGAAACCACTGGCCGGCACGGGGTCCCTGGAGAAGCATCTGTTTAGGAGAGAGAGGCCGTACCCGGGGGAGAGGGGAGCGCAGCTGGGCCACGTCCTGGAGGTCAGGCACCAGGGGCACCAGCAGGCGGTTGGGCAGCACCAGGAAGGCAGAGATGGAGTCCATGATCATGGTGTCGGAGAGCGAGCTGGATCGGGGGCAGAAAAGGTGGTGAGCGAGGGCCCTGACCCCAACTATGTTTCCCACAACCAAGAGGCCTGCGCCCAAAGGAGGTCCGTTCTTGAAACTCTCTTTGCTCCTCTCCTGCCCCGATTTCCCGCCTCCTGCTCTGCCCCGTCTTCACTGCCATCCCCGCCCTCCTCCTTCTGCCCCTGTCCAACCGTCTGCCGCGCCCTTCCTTCCCTACAGAAGGAAAACCGGAGCCTGGTACTCGGCAGGGGTATTTGTCTTATCTCCCCAGCTCGGCTCCGGGCTCCCGGAGGGCACTGCTGCACCTTTCACTGCTCTGCACCCCCCGGCCAGCCGCACCCCCTAGCCGGTGCTCAGTCCGTCCTTGGTACCTGAGTCCTGGGATATCCAGCAGGTTGGTCATCCCCGTCCAGTTGATATCGAGGGTCTGGAAGGAAAGGGCGCGCGGAGGTGTGGTCGGCCCACCCAGCAGTTGCCAGAATTCACCTTCTTGTCAGTCCCCTCCTCCATTCCCTCGGTGGCCGTTCCACCCTCCCCCCCACAATCCTCTGCTTCCCCATCCTTCCTCAGCATCCCTCCTTACCGGGCGTCGAATAAAGAACATGGACACAGCCCCCACGATAGGAATGTCTCCTATGAGCGGCTCCAGAATCACCCGCAGGACACCGTGCAGCTGGGACAGGAGAAGACGGGAGCCTTTCCTCAGAGACCGCCTGCCCCCCCTCACTCCCAGCCTTGGTCCCCCCCACACACACACATCCGCACCCACGTCCCAGGAAACGGGGGCAAAGCTCCCTCCCTCCCGGGGCCCCTGACGGCCGCCCCACCTGCATGCCCTTGACCCCAGCTTTGCAGAAATATTTCTTCACTTCCACATCAATCTGTATGTCGCCTACGTAGCTGGGGTTGGGGAGGAAAACAAAACGTTAGCGCTTGGCGAAGTGGGGGCAGGGGCACAAAGCCCTGTGACCAGCCCTGGAGAACGGGAAGTGGAGGAGGGGTAAGTGGTGCTACCTGATGTTCATGTCCAGCAGGATCTGCTGCTTGTTCTGACCCGGGTGAACTTTGACTCCTAGGATGCGCAGCGGCTAGAGAGAGGTGAATTCTTGAGAGAAAGGAAGGGGAGGGGAGGGGTATCTCAAGCTCCTCTGACCTCCCCCCACATCCCCTGTGCTTTCTCCTCCGCCCCTTACTTTCCTTCTCTCTCACACACACACCTTTTCACCCAGTTCCACTCGGGTGAATGTGAATGTCTGTAAATGAGGGTTAGATCCTCGCACAGCAGGGGCCACCGTCTCAGCCAGAAGCTTCTCCATGTACTGCCCCAGGAAGGGCCAGACCTGGGCCACAATCTGGGGGGAGAGGGAGCCAGTCACAGAAGAGCCCAGACCCCCTCCGAGGTCCAGTCCCTTCAGAATGCGCCCCCGGAGAGCAGGGAGGACGGGCGGGGGCCGGGACTGAGTGTGGCAGAGGACGGCCAGAGGAACGGCCTGTTCCCCACTTAGGAAAAGGAAAAATGCAGACAACCCTCACCTTATTTAGCCATTCCACCTTTTCCACGTCTGGGAAGCTGACCTAGAGGGGGGGGGGGAGAGTACTGAGCACAGCCTGCTGCTTCCTGCGAAGATGCTGAGAGGAGAGGAGAGGTGAGGGCCGCCTCCACGGCTGGGGGCGTGGAGGTCTCTGCGGGGGAGCTGGGTGGGGCGGAGGGGGAGCTGGGTGGGGCCGGAGGGGGGAGCTGGGTGGGGCCGGAGGGGGGAGCTGGGAGGGGCCGGAGAGGGAGGCCGCCCTTGGCTGCTCTGTGGCCGCTCAGGATGTGAAAGGACAGCTGCCGGCAGAGGAGGAGTGAGACGGGCACATTCTTTCTGGAGGGGGAGGTCCTGGCAAACAGTTTGAGGAAGAAATCCTGGGCTTGGAGAGGTCCGGTTCCTCTGTGCAGCCTGCCCTCTCTGACCCGCCTCTGTGCCAGGAGTGCCAAGGGGAACGGTTCCCTGAGTCAGGGAGGGCCAGAAGCGCTACCAGCCGCAGGCCCTGGCCTTTGTGTTTTCTTTTCTTGTGTGGATCAGTGGGGCTCCTTTGTGGGAAAGGGCACCTGTGCTCCTGCTGGGGGAGGAGGGGGGAGTAGCTTCGGAAGGATTCGCTCTGTGGAAGAGCAGGAGGAACAAAGGACAGTGGCTGCCTGGGCTGCGTGTCCCCAGGGACCATTTCTTCCCCTCTGGCCTCTCCAGTCCTGGCCTGGGCAACATGGCTGTGCCCGTCCAGTGCCAACTTTGATTCCTCTCCGGCCTGGTCCCTCTAGGCTGGCACCTCTGCTGGGAGCGGACAGGAGGGGCTGGGGACCGCTCTTCTCTGAGAGGCCAGAGGAGGCATCAGGCTCCCCCGATGGATAAGCGCAAAGAGATAAGGATCTGGGCCTCTAACAAACGCAGCCCACACTCCGGAAAAGGGTGGGGCTGCCGGGCGGCGGGTGAGGGCTGCGGGCACTGCAGCAGCCGCTCCCCCTCCCGTGCGCCCGGCAGCCCGCATCCCCTGCGCTGCGGCCGGAGGGTGCGGCCAGGTGCAGGGCGCCCTCCTCCCGCTCCTCTCAGTCCGCCAGGGCAGTGCCCCCCGCGCTGGGTCCCGGGGGCCCCGAGGGTGACAGCGGGAAAAGAAATGGGGGTGGGGTGGGGAGCCCCAGGGCAGGAGAGGGAAGGAAACCCCCGGAGCGGCTGTGGCATGCGGATGGCACAGGCGCCGGCGGCCCCGCAGGCAGCGGGCGGGGCTGTCCGGAGGGAAGAAGCCGGTGCTGGGAGGGATCGCAGCCGGGCGCCGAGGGGAGGGGGGGCAGTGGGTCCCCGGAGAGCGGGGACGTCGGGGCGGGCGGGTCCCAGGCGGGAGCGGCCTGGGGACGCGGAGCAGCGCCGGGGCCGGGCCGGGCCGGGCCGGGCCGGGCCGGGGCCCGCGCTCACCCAGGCGGGCAGCTCCCGGTGGCTCAGGTACAGCGTCTGGGCCGTGAGCCGCTCCTCGTCGTCCAGCAGCAGCCGCGCCACGCGGAGCCTCCGTTCCTTGCCGTCGCGGACGCGGCGCCAGCCCAGGTAGAGGGCGAGGCCGACCAGCACGAAGCCCACGCTGAGCCCCAGGGCCCCCGCCAGGTACACCGGCACCAGCACCAGCAGCCGCCGCCCGAACGCCGTCAGCGCCGCCAGCGCCTCGCCCGCCGCGCCCGGGCCGGCCGGCGGCTCCCCGAGGCTCGGGGCGGGCTCGGGGGGCGCGGCGGGGCGCTGGCCGGGGGGCGCGGCGGGGGCGGGGGCCCGGTCCTGCGGGCCGGGGCTGGAGCCGGCTCCCGGGGCGGGCTCCATGCTGCCTCTGGGGAGAGCCCTCCGGACAGACCCGGGAGGCGCCTGATCTCCCGGCTCCCCCCGCCGCTAACCGTAAACCCTAAAAGGCAGGGACTCAGAGCCACGCCCTTCCTCCCCTGGCCGGGGCGGGTCCCGCCGCAGAGAGCGAGGTGGAGCCGGAGCCTCGGACCCGCCCCCTTCCGCCGGGGGGGGGAGGCCTCCGGGATCGAACCGAGCGCCGAAGGGGCGGCCGGGGAGGGCGGGAGAGCGAGGAGAGCGGCTCCGGAGCCGCACCGCGCTGGCCGGAGAGGCGCGGCGGTCTGCGGGCCATTTAAACCGGGGGGCGGGCCCAGGCGCCCCCCACGGGGATTGGGCGGCGGCGGCGTGACGTCACGCAGAGCTGCTCCGTTTTCGGAGGGAACGCGAGTGGAGGGCTCCCTTCCTCTCCATTGGGTTTGGCAGGACTTGGTCTGCGATTCCTACATGTTCGTTTGCCAGCTCTCCCTGTGCTCGTATCCGAAGCACTTTCCTTCAGTATGCTCTGGCTGTCCTTAACCCAGGGAAGGAAATTACCCTATTTGGAATGAAAGTGTCCCATGACCTACGCTGTCCGCCCTGTCCTTAGTCCTCTACCCTGTCTGTGCGGTCTGTGCAGTCTGTGCAGTGAAGCGGCAGACGCTAGAGAAAACTGGGGAATCCGGGAATAACGGAGCTGAGAGGATCCTGTCTTCAGGGAAGGGAGGAGGGGGGGAAGCAGGGTGAATAGGAAGTGAGCCTTCCTTTCTTTTCAGAAATCTCCAAGAGTTATTTAGTCCGTAGATGACTGATTAAAACCAAATCGGCTCCACAAAGGCGGAGGGAGGCTCAGCTGCAGCAGAAATGATTCCATTTCCAGACTCTGACAACTGATAACTTGAAAATAAGAAACAAAGAGTAATGTGATGATTCCATCTCTCATTTGCCGGAGTTGGAAGATTTGGGGCATAGTCCCATGTAAAACTATCGCAGTTTTACTTTGTATGAATAGGTTTAGAAAGGGGGCAATGCAAGGTACACTGCTGATGACCGCTACTAGTTAATGGGATTTAGAGGGTGTTGTCTGGGGAGACACTAGACTAACTGGCCCTGGCTGGTGTGGCTCCGCTGATCGTCATCCCACCACCTATTGGTTTGATTCTCAGGGCACATAGAGGATACATACTCAGGTTGGGGTGGGGAGATGTACAGAAGGCAACTGACCCACGTTTCTCTCTCCCTCTCCCTTCCTCTTTCTCTAAAAGCAATAAAAACATATTTCTCTCTTTAAAAAACTGGACTAACTGGAAGCCCTAAAGGGAAGGGTTGGTCATAAAATGGTTATTGTTTGATGCAGTGTTTGTGGAGCTTGTATTATTCTGTTTAGTGCAACACAGGAACTAGGGTTGATCTTTGAGCAAAGAATAGATCTGAGCAGATACATTTTATCTGGCTCTGCAGGCAGAGATTTAATCAGGCTGTTTCAGCAAAGCTGCTAAAACCTATTCCTGCCCAATCTTAAAATTTTCTCATGTCCCTTTCTCTACTTCTCTGAGGCTTACAGTATCTAGATTATTTCATTCAGCTTGCAGAACTACATAAGGAACCATTTTCTACTTGCCTCCCTTGTCCTCCATATTCTCAGAAGTGAGCAGGTAGAAAAGGAGCTCAAGGAGTTTGGAGGAGATATGATCTGCTCCCCAACTGATGAAGCAAAATGAGTTGAAAAATGGATGAAGTTCCTTATGGGGAAACCTCCTTATAAACTGAAATTTGCCAAGCACTGGAGCCCCTTAGGCTGGGAGAGAGGGTGACCTATGGAGGCTCTTTTTCAAACTTCCCTCCTCACCTATCTAGATGATCAGACCCTCCTACTGAAGGTGGTGTATGGAGCACAAAAACTCATCCTATGGTCTCTTCCCAGCTGGCTCAGGGGCCAAACCATCAGCAGCTGCATTGCGGGCACCAGAGTTAGTCAACAGGGTGAGTCCTGCCTACTGACAATTCTGCTGCCCAGGTGCCACCTGGTGGTGGTAAGCAATAAAGGGTGACAGGAAAAATGGTCACTTTTTCAGTGTCTAAGTGAGCCAAGTGCTGAGGCTTCCTGGATTTGCAATAGGCATGTATATGTGAACTACGTTAGCCTCGGAGGCAGAGGACTGAACGTGGTCATCTGGTCCCAGCTCACAAGATGGAAGGGGCAGGGCAACAGAATTGGAGGAAATTTCCTCTGTGTTGTTCCCAGCAAGTTACAGCCCCTGTGGCATGGCTCTACATCAAAACTGGCTCCGCACCTCACTAGTTGTGGAACCCTGAGCCGATGAACCCTCTTTACACCTGCTTTCTCCTCTACCACATGGGTATGAGAATAATAGCCACTGTATTGTGCCAATTAGATATTGCAAGGAAAGTGCCTTGCCTTAAATTTTAGTACTCAATAAATATTAGCTAGAACTTCTAGAACCCCCCGTTTATTTCTGATGCAGCAAACAGGACCCTTTTCTCCAATGGGCATCCCTTCAGATATCCCAAGTTATCTACTGGGTCCCCCTCAGTCTTTCCTTATCAATTTCTGTCAGCTCCTCCACTGGTTTGCTGTGGCCCTTTACAATCACACTGAGAAGAATGCACAATACCTTCAGGGTTGCTTCACTCGGACACGGAAGAACTGCTGTATTTACAACGCATGCCTGTGGTTCTGTTATCCTGTGGAGCTCCTAGAAAGGCCTAGAACATAGCAGGCTCTCACTATGTATGAACTGACACAGTATAAGGACAAGTATTTTTTAGCCAATTGGAAGTCCCGTGTTGTTCTCTCATTGTTCCTGTGTTGTTCTCGTTTTTGCTACTATAGATCTCTGAATTTATCGCTCAGACAGGGTCAAGCAATTTTTTTGTTTTGTTTTTTGGTTGTTTTGGTGCCCTGATCAGGAATGGAACCTGCCACCTTTCAGTGCACAGGATGATGTATCAACCAACTAAGCCACATGGCCAGAGCACAACCAATTTTTTAGAGGGAGGGTCAATCCAAATAGATACAAACTGACCCGTTGGATTTAGTCAATACAAGTTACAAACACTTTCAATATTACTTAATATGTCCTTGTGTTACTGTTGATAACAGAGCCTTCCATATTTTTATACACGTTTTCAATAAAACATAACCCTTGGGTATATCACTAGATTTCTCTAACATGAATGCACTAATCAACATTTATACATGTTCAGTTTGGATTCTACCAAACTCTACTATGAATGGAACCATAATTATTATTTTATTTGTAATGGTTTTGGAGGTGAGAAAGAGGAAAGCAGCTCCTGACATTCAGGAACTGGCCTGAACAGCTCGGCTTCAGAGCTGTTAGGGGCTGACCTGGGTTCAGAGGTAAGAAACGGTGTACTATTGGACACAAACTCACAAAACACCAACATAGGACAAGGCATTCAGTGACTATCACAATTTTGTCTAAGTACAAAACAAGGTCAAGTGTGCAAACCACAAGATGACAAACATCCCCCTCATCCAGCTGAGTGACTACTGTTTCATTACCAATTACAACTTTGCTTCACTCTGGTCTGTCCTTTATCAGGATAAAATAATAACAGAATTATCTATCCCTGCTTTTCAGAGATCACTCAATCCAGAATGAAGTCCCACTTCCTTAAACCTTCCCCCAAATCAGTTAACCAAAATGTAAGTCTTGTAAGTCCTAATCCCCTTTCACTTTCTACAACCACAGTTCTCATGGCACGCTCTCTCCATCATTCCTATGAGCATTAAACCCAGCTTGTTCAACTGCAGGTGTATTCCTGGTGGTCTTTAGCTGGAGGATGTTAATAAAGGACATACAATGTATAGTTTCCCAAATCTACCTCTTTAGAGACACTTGGCAAGAAGAAAGTAAAGTTAATGGGTCAGCATTTGGCTGGGATGAATTCATGTTGGTATCTATGATCACACTTGTCTTTAAATATTCATAAACCATCTCTTTTAATAATCCAAACTTGTATCAGAAAATCAACATTTAACTTATCAATGGGTGGTTTCTAAAATCCACAAACAATATTTTAGTATTTGCCCATTTTTAGTCTTTAGATTTTTTTTTTTTTACTGGCCTTGTCTTGACCTAGCCCACCAACTCCAACCCCAGGTATATCCTGAATGATCAAGCAGACAAGAGAGCAAGAGGTAGAAGGAGTTAGGATGGGGGAGAACAACCCAGGATCACAGTCTCTCCCCCCATCCACAATCCCATTAGATTGGACACCTGAGTTGTTTCCCCGTATCAGCTATGAGCCGAGGAGGAACTGAGGTTTGGCCTCTGGGGCCCTCAGCCTTGACTTTTAATTAGATTTAAAACCAATGTGGTCCTATGTGGAAGCAGAGGAAAGGAAATAATTGAGTCTTGTATCCCCAGAACTCTCCTTTCCCCAGCACCTCCCAAGCCTTAAAGGTTTAAGGCATTGGTAACCAAGGAAGGGATAAGAGGGACATTAACTGCCATCAGTAACTCATGACAGCAATCACCACCCGCCTTGCTCAGTTTGCATAAGGGATCTGTCAATACATATTCCATTCCCATTTCCCAGCACATCCACCCTGCTTAGTACCTGCCCCCCTAAATGACCCTAGGAGCCCTGGTTACTAAGGCAACCTGGGAATAGTTCATGCAGATAGAAACCAGAACAGATGGGACTATTTTTAAACTGGACTAGGTGGCTCCAATGCTGTTACCTCACAAAGTGCCTTCCCCAAAGTCTCGTCTGTTGTTCTTCTGGGTCCCTACCCTTCTTCATTGGTCTCCATCCAACTTCATCCCAGCTCTGAGGGTGGGGGGGTGTCTTTATCCCATTTTGGCATGACATCTATTTACTGCTCCCGTATTACACACAGGAAATCTAAGCAAGTTTTCACTGCCTTCATTTGTTAAAAACAATTGTTTATTTCTTTGGAAAGTGGTGGGCCCTGCCCTGTGAATTTCCAGGCCAAGCCAAGGTAACGAATGCTCCCCTAGCCTTTGGGCTGGATGACTATGGTCCCCGCCTTGCTACGGGCCCAGGAGCAGTTATTGCCCAACTCGACTACGTCCCAAGTTGTCTGAAGGCTCCCTCAGGCCTCCTCTTCTGGCCGCCCACTCCCCCATCTTCCCTCTGGGCACTGTTTTCTTCCAAACCAGTGCCAGAACCTGTGCTGCACAGGAGTGAGGACCAGACCAGGCATGTCCCCATCTTCCCATCAGGGGACACCCAACCCCTCAGCCAGTCCTTCCTCTGTGCTGGCTTCAGTCTGCACTCCTATGCAAGCCCCTCTGTGAGACTAAAGACGGACAAGAGGGCCCTCACATAAGGGAGGTGAGACGAAACCCACCAGCCCAACCCCTTCTCAGAAGTAAACTCCTCGCAGTCTCTTGTCCTCGTTTATGAATAAGCCTTAAGACAGGGCCTGGCGAGTGGGCGGTAAAGGACTCCCTGGATCCCAGCCCTGGGAGGCTATAGCGGGGGTGTCCAGAGCAGCCCCATCAGTGTGGCATGGCTGTGATGCGCATGCTCTGGGAAGCAATGGGGTAAGTCACCATGGGAGTGGTGGTGTGGCTCATCGTGATTCCTGCCAAGGGCTGGGCCATCGACACAGCCACAGGGGCCACCGGAGCCACAGACACAGCCACAGGAGCCATGGAGACCGGTGGGGGCGCCATTCCCTGGGCAATTGTTTGAGCCAGAGCAGCTGACAGTGGCGTGATCTCTGGGTTCAAGTGTGGGGGTGGGGGTGGTGGAGCAGCAGGAGGGGCAGCATTAGTTGGGGGAGCAGCTGGAGCTCCAGCGGGGGCTACCAGTTCTTGCTGAGACACGGGCCGAGGCTGTAGAGCCTGGCTGCTGAGAGTAGTGTGAGTCTGGGCAATGCCATGGTTAAAAGTGGCAACAGTACCCACAGTGGGAGCCAGAGTCTGCTCAGTTGCTGGTGCAGTAGAGCTCAGGGTCATGACCTTGGCCTGATTGCGGAACTGGGCGTTTTGTTCCAGGAGTACCTCATTGGTAGCCAGAAGGTTGCTGACCTGCTTCTTGAGCTCCTCTACCCGCTTCCTGAGCATGGCGTTCTCCTCCTCCAGCAGCCTGCACTCCACCCCTCGGGGTGGAGCCAGGCTATAGTCATAAGATTCAAAATGGGGGCCATCTGGGGGACAGCATCCTCGCCGGCGCTTGGGACCTGGCTCATGGTCCTCAAAGCCCCTGTCAGGGAGGTCAAAGATGTCATAGAGATCATGACGTCGTCCTGGGGGGACTGGGCCTGTTGAGCCCCCACCACCGGTGCCGCCTCCACCCCTAGTATCAAATTCAAAATCCCGTTGTAGGTGACGGAACTTGCACTTGGCTCCTCTCTGGCAGTCACCTTTGAGAAAATCCCGGCAGATTGGGACCTCCTCCTTGCCATTCGGTAGGTCAGCTGGAGAAAGGCCCAGGCCTGCTGCGACTTTCTGCCTCAGCCGAGGGGGAAGCTCTCCTGTCTTCTTATAGCCATCCTCATCCTCCTTGGAGCCATGGATGAATCGGCAGTTCGGGCGACTGCACTCCTTGTTCTGGAAGTCATGGCAGAAGATGAACTCATTTTTGCTCACCCCCAAGTTGGACACCTCGCTCATGTCTGGATGGCGGTATCGGCAGCGCTTGCCTCGCTTGCACACATTCCTCAGGAAGTCCCTGCAGATGGCATCTGAGCTGGCCCCTCCGCTGCCTGGCCCTGCTCCGCCGGCCTCCTCGCTGCTCCCACTTCCAGGGCCTCCACCGCTGCTCCCAGTGCCGTTGGCATAGCTGTCCCGGTCAGGCATCCTGGTCCCCCCCAACTCAGGGCTTTCTTCTTTTTCTTGCCACCCTGGGTGACCACTGGGAAAGAGAAGGACTGTGTCAAACAAGAGTCCCCCAGAGAGGCCACACTCTTCCCGACCTTAGGGTAGGCAGTCCAGCAAGAGGCAGGCCAGAGGGGCAATGGCTTTGGAGATGGAGAACCTTAGGGGTGAGAGTTCGGCTCAGACTGGCTGGCTTGCCCGAAGTCCCGCCCAGGCTCTTATGCACCTGGTCTGGGACAGCATGATTCACACTTGCCTGGCTAATAGAGGAGGGAGGGAGCTGGGGGTGAAGCCATCTCATCTCACTTATGAATGCAGGCCAAGGGGGGGTAGGGATAAAATAGTACTGGATTTTATTTCCCCTTTTGAATTGACCTTATTAAAGTTGTGGAAATGAAATTAAAACTGGCAGTGTCTGAATAGGCTAGGAGGGTACTGGGAATCGTGGCCAAGATGGGCTGGTGAGCCACTAGGGCTGTGGATATGGAAGGCTGGTGACAAAACTTCCCTTAACCTCCTCTTCATGGGACTTCAGATAAGGGATCTGTGAAGTGTCATATCTCTAGACCCCAGGAAAGCTTGAGTGAAGAGACTTGTGTCACCACCCTGAAGGCAGACCATTAACCTGTCCTTTTTAGTGCTCCCTCCCAGCTCAATACCACTATCGACCCCAGTGTGGTCAGCTCCCTCCTCTCCATTTCAGGGGAAGAGTTCTATGGCTAGAATCTCCACTTACAGACTACCAAAGGACAGAACCTGTAGACTACGGAAGGACAAAAGCAGGAAGAAGGAGTTAATTTCACAGGAACAAGTGACCTTACTTTCCCATTCTATCCCCTCCTAACCCTTCATGGGAAGATACCACTGACATCAAACCACACCATTCCTCACCCCATAAAGATCCTCTTTATTTATAGACGCTATAAACGCTTCTTAAGTCTCATCTTTCCCAAGAGAGCTCTGGAATGTCAGTCCACTGCCCTGGTTCTAGCCCGCCCCTCACCCCACCCCCCACAAGTCTGAGTCCTGGCTACCATGTGTCTTTCCTAGGCAGTGTTCCGGCTCCCCCTGCTGTTCAAATAGGAAAACGTCATATTCTTTCCCCTGGAGTACGGAAGGGGAAACAATTTCTCTGGCTTTGATCTCCCCTAACCACCACTTGGTTGCCTTGACTTTGCCGCCTTATCTCCCTAAAATGAACCCACCAGCGGCCAACGTTACAAGAGACTCTGTAAAAGAAGGGTCCTTTTCCTCCAAAGGGAGGTAGTCCCAGGATAATAGAAACAATCAAGGGGTAAAAGAGGAAATAGGAACTTTTACTAAAAGGGAAATGACCTGGGGAAAATTAAATGCCATCGTTCCAAGCCTGACCCACGGTGCAACCCCCACCAGATACAGATGATGAGATATAGTATTCCTCCCCACCCACTCTCCCAGGATTATTCGATACCTGAGGTAGCTCAGGTGAAGTCCGGGGCTCCTGTGGGTCTCCACCGCCACATCACTGCTGGGTTCTGAACAGGAACAAAACAGGTACTTCGGTGGGAGAAAGGGTAAGAATGGAGGACTATGGGCTGAACGTTACAAGAAATAAGTCTGACAAAAAGGCAAAAGCTCTGGGCACATCAAGATTTCCTTAGAGTTTCAACTGAACTTCACCAAAGGGGAGTTGCAAGTAAGAAAAGCAAAAGATAGAACTAAGTTGGAGAGCCTAGAAGGATGGGTTGGATAACCAGCCCTGGGTGAACAAAGGGTGAGGGGAGCCCTGCTTCAAATGGAAGATATAGGGGTCAGAGTCCGGCTTGGGGTTGGGGTTAGGAACTTCGCATGTGGAGCTGTGCAAGGGCCGCGACTGACACTGCAGTGGGATGGGATGGCAGACTAGACTTGGGGGCAGTGATTATGACGCTTCGCAACACCCGAATTTGCTATAAGTCCTAGGAGTTTCCCGCAGCAAATCTTCTGGCTTGGCAGGTTCCGTGCAGTGCCACCAGAGCCCAGCGTGGGCCAGGCGAGCAGGACTTTAAGTGAACACGAAGTGAAGCGGGAGCGGGACTGCGGGTGACATCAGCTGAGGGGATGGGCAGGGCTGTGACGTCAAGGAGCTAGCGTCTGCTCGCAAAGCGAGGTCAGTTAGAGAGGTGGCTCGGCGCTGGGGCATGAGAAGAGCCAGCAGGGTCCTGGGGGGCCTTGTGTAGCCGGGCGAGGCCGGCCGCTGGGCCGGCGACGACTCCTCCCCTCCGGGCGCGGCCTCCACCTGTCTCCCGCCTCCCTCACCTGCCACCGCCGCCGTAGTTGCTGCTGCCGCCTGCCGGTCCTCTAGCTTCGACAAAGAGCCGCCCACCCAGCGGCCCTTCCGCTTCCTGCGGAAGAAATGGCGCTCTAGCCACCGGACCCGGAACTATACTCTATGGTATGTACGGTACTTGGTGCGACTGGCGGCAGGAAGTTCCCAGCAAGCTTTGCGCATCACCATGGTAACAGAGCAGCAAAAAACGTAGAGACCAGTAGAGACTGAACCATTCGCCCAAGAACTATCGCGATACCCGTCCCCAGGGTTCCACTACTCCACAGGCCGGGGACCAGACGCCGGGTAGGGGCAGGACCCACATCCCAGGGGCAGCTTGTGGCTGGACAATCTTACTGCACGGGGTAGTAACAGGGCCCGATGTACTGACAGAATCCCCAGCCAACGGAACCATAAAAACCACAAAGCAGACATTATCTTTTCCTTCAGCTAAGACAGGAGATGATTTATTGTGCACGTTACATTCAGCCACAACTGAGAACAGAACCAGTCCAGAGTGTCAGGGTCCGGGGCAAAGATCCAAGAGACTTTTTGGAAGAGCAGGGTGGGACTCTCAAAAGGCGGCCGCGGTGTTCAGGTGGCCCGTATGCATGTTCCAGATCCCACGGAGATGTAGGCAGGCAGTCCGACAGCTTGGACCGGCCCCGGGCCTCTGGCCTCCCTCTTCTGCTCCCGTGGCTTCCCCGGTGCACAGCTTGCGGTTTACTTGGACCTCTGCCTCATCTTTCTTCTTTTGCGCTTCAGCCTGAAAAGCAGACACTTAAGAATACACGCCTTGCCCTCAAGCCCATAACAAGCCCCCCTCCCCCATCTTAATGTACACACAACACAGGGTAGTGGCAACATGAAGCACTACATTCTCTAGTCTTAGTGCTCAAAGCGTTTTTCACCTGAAATCCTTTTAGATTCTAAACCAAACGTCCCTCCCAAGTTTTGTTTACGGCATGCACCACCTCACCTCCCTCCTCCAGGGCCTGCAAAGTCTCAACATACCTGCGCATTCGCTTCTTCCTCCACTGGCCACCGATTATAACCAGAGGCAAGGAATAAAGAAAAATGTCGTTAGTTTTTGACAGGTTTAGATAGGGGTGTGGAGAGCATTCTTTGGAAGTCAGGCACGTTCTCGACCTAACATGAGGGCTTAATCGCAGTAATCACGTCAGTAATTTGGCCTCCTAACCCCCACACCTGAAGTCAACTCCTAACTCCACACGCGCTCTTTCCTCACAGCAGTTACCCGACCCCCCCCCCCCCTATGCTTCTCCCCGAACCATCCTTCCTCTCCCACCTCTCAGACACCCGGGAGAACCGGCGGCTCGGGAGCCATGGCGAACTTTCCTTGCCGGGTCCCCCCCCGCCCCCATCATCAAGTCCCACAGCCTCAGCTTACCCCCAGGGAGTGCTTACCTTGGCTCTCATGGCGCAGAGGTTTCTACGGGCAAAGAGAAAAAGGTTACAGTTAGTTGGCTGTAACGATGGTAATGGATTGTACGCGGAACCACACAGAGAAAACAGAAACACCCACCTAGGAAGATGGCGCTAAGGCCGAGAGAGCGAGCAAGGCCCGCCTCCGCTATTTAAGGGCGCGCTCGCTGTCGTCACTTCCGCTGCTCAGCCCGCCTTCCGGGGGCGTAACAATGGCTTCCGGCCCCTTTCAGATACCTCGTTAGGGATGCTGTCCTCTTGGAAAACGGGGTGTTTTGAATTTGAGTTACAAAACTGCCCGCCCCGTTTCGTTGTTGAGGACGTCGTTATTTAAACGTGAGCACCCGTTTCCAGAACGAGGCCTCGAGGTGCTGGCGAGCAAGACAGCGACTTCCTCCTCTCTCGTTGCTTCATGGGAGTTGCAGTTTCCTGGTGACACCCTCCATTTTATTATAAATAGGTGCGTACTTTATAAAGATTCCTCATTTGTTTACTGGTTTGCCTTATATTTAAGCGAAATTGCTGCAGGGAGACTGTATCTCAGAACCTCCCCGGAAGGGTCCTAAGGTTGCAGAACATGGAAAAACGTAAAGGTGGGTTGTCAAGAACGCTGTCCTATTACCAAAATACGGTCGCTATTTTAGATAAACTTTTTCCTAGCCAACCGTGGTGTTACCAAACAGCGCCTGAGGCCGAATGTCATTCCTTGCCACAGTGCATCTTGTTCAAATTCAGTGATTCTACCAAGAGAGAGAGGAAGATGGCTCTCCTCTCTAGGGCAAGGATGGTATTTGGTTTTAAGATAAAGAACTTCCCCTCTCAGGGTAGACAGGTGAGGGTTATCCAGCAAGCAGATTTGGACCGTTACAAAGGATGGAAAAAAATCCTTAAGACAATTTGGCCTTATTTGATACTGCAAGGTTTTTATTTTTTGTTAATTCTCAACTGAGGATATTTTTTCCATGGATTTTTGAGTAGAAGGTGGGGAAAGATGAGGGAGAAACATCAATGTGAGAGAGACACATCCATTGGTAGCCTCCTGCTCCACCCCATAGGGTGAGATATCAAACCTGTAACCAAGGCAACAGCTTTTGACCAGAAATCCAACCCGGCCACACACTTCCGGTGTGCAGGCAGGTGCTCTAACCACTGAGCACACTGGTCGAGGCTTGCAAGGTTTAGTATTGGGTCGGCAACTAAGTAATTGCGGGTTTCACACATGGCTTCAGTTGAATTTTTAGGTTTGCAGACGTAGTACAAATGTAAAACACATTTTGTTATTTGATAGTTGGCTATTCAGCTGTTAATCAGTAAAAAAAGTTTTTTGATCTGTTTTGTATTGTAGTTTTCGTTTGGCGTTCGTTGAAAAATGGAAAATCAAAAGGAACATTTTCGTCATATTTTGCTTTTTTATTTCTGCAAAGGGAAAAACGCATCGCAAGCTCATAAAAAGTTATGTGCTGTTTATGGTGACGAAGCCTTAAAAGAACGGCAGTGTCAAAATTGGTTTGCCAAATTTCGTTCTGGTGATTTTTCACTCAAAGATGAAAAACGCTCTGGTCGTCCAGTTGAAGTTGATGACGCCCTAATCAAAGCAATAATCAATTCGGACTGTCACAGTACAACACGTGAGATTGCAGAAAAGCTTCATGTATCACATACATGCATTGAAAATCACTTAAAACAACTTGGCTATATTCGAAAACTTGATACATGGGTTCCTCAGGAACTGAAAGAATCACAGTTAATGCAACGCATTAGCAGCTGCGATTTGCTAAAGAAACGTAATGAAAATGATCCATTTTTAAAACGACTGATAACTGGCGATGAAAAATGGGTTGTTTACAACAATATCAAGCGGAAAAGATCGTGGAGCAGGCCAGGTGAACTAACTCAAACAACATCAAAAGCTGATATTCATCAAAAGAAGGTTTTGTTATCAGTTTGGTGGGATTACAAAGGAATTGTCTACTTTGAATTCTTACCACCCAACCGACCGATCAATTCTGATGTCTACATTGAACAACTAACGAAATTAAACAATGCAGTTGAAGAAAAGCGGCCCGAATTGACAAATCGAAAAGGTGTTGTATTCCATCATGACAATGCAAGGCCACACACATCTTTGGTCACTTGGCAAAAATTAATGGAGCTTGGTTGGGATGTTTTGCCACATCCACCATATAGTCCTGACCTTGCACCATCTGATTACTTTTTGTTTCGATCTTTACAAAACTCCTTGAATGGTAAAAATTTCAATAATGATGATGATGTCAAATCGTACCTGATTCAGTTTTTTGCTAATAAAAACCAGAAGTTTTTTGAACGTGGGATTATGATGCTGCCTGAAAGATGGCAAAAGGTCATTGATCAAAATGGGCAATACATTACAGAATAAAGTTATTTAGTTCCATGAAAAAAATTCTTTAAAACCCGCAATTACTTAGTTGCCGACCCAATATAATCCCTTTCTTGATGGTTTCCCTTTGTAACTTATGCATTAACATATCACCCTTTTAGCTCTATCAAAACAAGGTTTTTAAAACTTGGGGCCCTTGTTCTAAGTGCTTAAGTAGTTCTAGTATTTTCATTATCACAATTGTTTTTGAAAACAAAAAATTCCATCAGAATTGCTTCATTATCAAATACCAAATCCACCAGGCTTTCACCTGTTGACTGCCTAGCCTACAGGCTCTTATGAAGAGCTCCATGTTTTGTTCACTCTGTTGGACAGCATACCTGACATGTAAGATACTCAAATCTAATTATTCATTTAGGCTGGCCCTGACAACTTGTATAACACTAAAGGCATTTTTCCTGGCTTCCTAAATCAAAACAAACACCTGTATAGTGTTTTTATTTTTTTTCAGTACACATTAAATGTGCTAGTCCTGAACAGTGTCAGCAGCAAGGTTGATGGTTTTATTTTTTAAAATATTTTTCACATGGGGAAAATAATATTTTTCACATGGTTTTTATTTTTTTATTAAATTATCTGTGTACATATTTTAACATACCCCCCCTCCCCAGAGTTTTGTGTCCATTGGTTGTACTTATATGCGTGTATACAAGTCCGTCGGTTGATATCTTATCTCCCCCAGATCTCCCTACCCTCCCGGCTATAATTTGACAGTCTGCGTGTTGCTTTACTGTCTTTATATCTGACTTTTGGTTCATCAGTTTATAATGTTCTTTAATATCCATAAGTGAGTGAGGTCATGTGGCATTTCTTTCATTGACTGGCTTATTTCACTCTCAAATGGTTTTTAACTAATCATTACCAGATATCAAATGTAGAGTCTATAATTTTTAAAAATATATATATTTTATTGATTTTTTACAGAGAGAGAGGGATAGAGCTAGAAATATCGACTAGCTGCCTTCTGCACGCCCCTTACCAATGTGCCCGTAACCAATGTACATGCCCTTGACCGGAATCGAACCTGGGACCTTTCCGTCCGCAGACCGACACTCCACCACTGAGCCAAACCGGTTTTGGCTCGTTTTACTTTAGAAAATTAAATCAAGCTCCCATAGAAAATTTACCACCTTAATTCAGATTGTTAAGGATTTATGTCTTTGGGTTGAGGAAGTATTCTTTTAGAAAGTTATAATAGTAAATAGCAACACAGAGAATCAGCTCCAAATGATCACTTCAACTAACACTCCCCCACCTCCATCAAATAAAAGCAGCAAAAGCACCTGATTATGAGCAAATCCAAATTTATTTTAACGCCATGTCATTTTCAGTGTTTAAAAACCTCCTAAGTCAGCGGCGGGAGTCCTAGTTTCCCTGGGACAGTATGCCAGAGGTACTGAATGAAATTCATCACCTTTCTCTCAAAACCCCTAGCAATTCATCCAATTCAAGTCCACACAGCTTAGAAAGCCAGGAGTTGTCTCTTCAGTCAGTCTGCTCCTCTGGTTCCTGGTCTTTCTTTCGAGGGAGAGAGGTCAAAATATTTCAATCAGGGAACAAAACCGCAGTTGAGCTTTCAGCTCAGGTTTGTAAGATGGAGCAAGGGAAGACCCCACTGACTCCAAATAAATGGACTGGTTAAAATTAATTCCTCCTTTACAGTATTTTTCTTTTTCTTTTTTTTGGGGGGGTGGGGGTTGGGAGAGAATAGTCCTACAGAACAAGATGACTATAAAGATTTACAAATGAGGATCCGTTTCATAGATGAGAATCCCTTGGTAAGTGCAAGCTCCAGCTCCTACAAAAAGGAGGGGCCTGGCCAGATAGCCTGGATCAGAAAAGGAACCTACCACCTGTGAATAAAACAATCCGAGGCCCAGCTCCTCCCCTTTGAGTGGAAAAAGAGAGGAACAGGCCCCAGCAGAGGGGAAACGCTGCCATCAGAGTGTATAAAATTCCAGCCGAATCTGTAGTGGCGGTGGCTCCGTTAGCCGCCTCCCTGCTGTTGTAGGGCCATAACCCTTCACCAAGCAGACAGTAGTAGAAAAAGGCTAGAAAGAGGGGCTTGAAGACGATGGATTTTGATTCCTGATTTTATTGTTCAATTTCTCTTTTTTAGTTAAAGTAGTCTTCGGTGGCTGGGAAGCCTGGCCTCCCAAGACCAGAGTCAGTTGGAGCTGGTTCTTGTTGGAAGGGGTAGGGCTGGGGACTGGGATGGGGCAGGGAGACCCCTGCTCTGCTGGCGGTCCTGGTGGAGAAGACGAACTGCACTTCAGAGCCTGGGGCTGTGGGGAGGGGATGAGGCAGGAGCGGCTAGCTGGGGAGATGGGACCCACCTCAGTCCCCAGCTTCATTCTCTTCTAATGTTTCCCCGCTGGTGGCATTCTCTGCAGTCTTGGAGGCCTATATTCATGGAAAGATGGAGACGTGTAAGTTTCCTTGGGGGAGTGATGGGGGACCATGGTCAAAATATCCTAATTCTCTAGGACAGGCCTGAGAAGGGGGTGGGGTGGGTGGAATAAGGATATGCAACAATCTCTGTCCCACCACAACCCGGGAAGGTGGAATAAAAAGGGATCAGGTTCATCCTGCCGAAGAGGGATAACAACACACCTTCTTTTTTTTCTTTTTCTGGGTTTTCCGACTTGCAGAACTCTGGAGGAGGGCCTAGGAAAATAGAAAGAAGGAAAACAAATGTGGAGAACGTTGGAGAAAAAGTCTTACTTTCAACACTGTACCTCTTTTTCAGGACTCGGCTCACATTCAGTCCCCACTTTCAGGACAGGTTCCATGTGCACAACCACTTTGCAGCCCGCACTCACCTTTAGCTCTGCATCCTGGACCTCCTTGTCAGACTTGTAAAGGTCAGGCTCAAAGGGACCGCTGGTTATCCGCATGGGGCCATTGGGCATGAGCAGAACGGTAAATTTAAACTGGGCAACAAATTCCCCTATGGGACAGAGAAATGTTTTGATAAAATGTTCCCTTGTTGTATCCTTTTCTATAAGCTATAGGGAGAAAGGAGGGACCATATAACCAGTTCCAAAGCGAAACTCTCCTTTTAGAACTTACCCTCCTTCTCATAGAGAACATTAAATGGCTGCAGCAGTTCATGTTTGGCGCATTCCACCACGCCCATCCGGGCCTTCTTCTCATCTTCAAATGCTCTGGGTTGGGGGAAGACAAACTCAGGTATCCTGAACTCTCTACCAAGCCTCGCCACTTTGCTCATGCTTTTACATAGATCCTACCCTCAGGCAGAAATCACGCTCAGGACTGCTCTTTTACATTCTCTTCAATGCGGGAGATGGGGAGCGTAAGAGAACCCTTGCATGCAGGCTGGAGCTACAAGTCCAGGCAGGAGGGGAGGGGGGCAGCGGGGGTGGAGGAGGGAATGGTTTTCCTGGGTGTGTGGTCCATGAGTCACACCAGTGCCAAGCCCTGGGCTTGTGAAGTGCAGTGTACCTTAGAGTGAACGGCATGGCATCAAAACGCCTTTCCACCTCGCTGAAGAAGGCACGTGAAGTTTTCATTTTCAGGCCATATTGTTTAGAAGGATCTCGTTTATAAATGGTGGTTCTCTGTCCTGCATCCTTGGCCTAAAAGAGTAAGTTAGGTCACACTTGTTCAGGTGCTCCTGGAACAAAAACAGTCCTCTCTCTTTGCTAGCTCTGTAAACTCCTCACCTTGCCCTCTCCTGAGCTGACAAGAACATCCACAGCATATACTTCATGGACCTCAAATTCAGCTTTCTCGTGGTCCTTCCTGAAAAGAATACAAAGGGAACAACCATAAGCAGTTCCTGGAGTTTGGAGTGAGGCTGGGTGTATAGGAGAAAACACTCCTGACTGGTCTTGTACGGTGCAAAGTAAAGGGTGGGATTGGCACTTACTTCTGCTGGTCTGTGGGATTCTGGATAATCGTCTTCTCTCCATCGATGACATGCTGCTTCAACTGGTGTGACAGCATACCTGTGGAGGGGACAAAGCTTATGGTACCAACCATCCAGAATACCAAAGGTTTCCAAATCCACCCACCTAAATAGTTTGATGAGGCGGACTATGAGAGAAAAGCGCCTGGCTATAAACTAAGGGCACTGAATTTGGCTTAGACTGCGCTACAGCCAGGATGGATCTCAAGGGAAGAAAACAGCCTTAATTATGCTAAATCACTGGTACTTTATACCCTCAACCCTGTTATCTGAGGTCTCACCTTCTATTGGCGTGCAATTAAATGAATGGGCAACTTTGTTCCAGGCTTCGGTCACTTGTGTGTTCTAGAAGTACAAGATCAAATAAAGGGTGAGATACCAGGGGCTAATAAGTTCTCTACTGTGTGAATAAGAAGCATAAAGAACTGAGGGTTCGAATATCCTCCATCAAGTACAAGGGATTCTCACTGGTTTTTCATGTCATAGCCCTATCAATCCCTACAACCTAAACATATCTTACCCTTGCATCTCCTTTACAAAGAGCTTTCACAAAGATGGTCTAATCAAACAATTCTGGAAGGTGAACAGAGCAGATCTATACCCCAATCTAGAAGATGAGGAATTTGCTCAGAATTAAACCAGTTAACAGAAAGAACCTGGTATAAACCCAGGCTTTATGACAATAAGTTTTGTTTATTCCATTATAACTGACTTTTAAAAAAATATATTTTATTGATGTTTTACAGAGAGGAAGGAAGTGGGATAGAAAGTCAGAAACATCGATGAGAGAGAAACATCCATCAGCCGTCTCTTGAACAGCCCCCACCGGGGATGTGCCCGCAACCAAGGTACATGCCCTTGATCAGAATTGAACCCGGGACCCTTCAATCCACAGTGCTGTATCCACTGAGCCAAACCGGTTTTGGCTATAACTGACTTTCTAAATTGTTGAGAAGGGACAGCAAACTCTTTGTTAATTCTCACCCGAGGATATTTTTCCATTGATTTTTAGAGAGTAGAAGGGAGGGAGGGAGGAGAGAAACATTGATGTGAGAGACATATCACTTGGATGCCTCCCATATGCCCAGATCATGGCCAGGGACCGAGTCTGCAACCTAGGTACACACCCTTGACCAGAATCAAACCAGGAACCCTTAGGTCCACAAGCTGACCGTCTGTCTATCCACTGAGCCAAACTGACTAGGGCGAGGGACAGCAAACTCTGTATTTCCCCTTTTTACCTCTCAAACATGATCTGATCCTTAAACTACAGTACTTAGACAAAAAGAAAAGTGAATAACCAATCCCAGCTAATATTATTAAACTATGTACTAAATTCTGGGATAATCATTTTACACACAGTTCATCTCAATTGTTATAACTCTATAAAGAATAAGGCAGAATTTTATTTTCTCCATTTTACAGATGAGGGAATTTAAATTCAAAGCTATTTTTAAAGAGGTGGCAATAGGGCAAGAACCCAGAAAGTCTGATGTCACAGCTAGACAACACTACCTTCAGGTGAAGATACACATAGGTAAGTATATAAACAAAAATGTGAAAAAAATAAAAAGAAAAAATGATA